TCCTAATTACAGATATGACATGGGTTGTGTCCGCTGATGCCATTTTTTTGCGAATTGTGGAACTCCACGCCGAAACTGCCAAAAGAAACATTTGTCGCGCGTGGTCGAACCAGCGACACACTCCATCAACCCCTTTTTAGTATTCAGAGGGCCGCGCAGGAGGAAAAAAACTACAGTTATGTGTTCCATGCTCGTTCCTCTATATCATACAAAAAAATCGTCTCGACAAAATTGAGCATTCCCTCAAAGACCTTTTCCGGAGGCTAGTAGTGGTACTGGTTGGGAGGAAGGTCGTATTCAATCCCCCTTTAAGAAGTGATGTGGGCAGATTTTGGGGACGTGATGTCCAATTTTCAGACACATAAACTTCAGGGTATGGGTGTTTTGAGAGGGTACTGATAAGTACAGAAAAAAATTGAAAATATCGATGAGCAAGAAATGATTTCGTGGACATTTTGCGTGGACTGGATCGGAGATCTAGTGCCAGGACCTGAACTGTCATCCTAGCCGCATGTGTACACAATACACATCCATCGTTTATTAATCATACCTTAATCAAAGAAACTTGTGAATTTTGTAACGATTGCATTTTCTAACAGTTTTTCCCTTCAATATGTTTCCAAGAAAAGGTTTCCCTTGAGTAAAAGCATGCACCGAGAGCGACCCACCTTTTACGAATGAAGCGATTCGTAAAGGTGTAGACAGGGCCATAGTGGGGGTCATATCATCGAAATGCCGAATGGTTGTTGAGAAGATGATAACGGGCATGATGACAGCGTCGATGGCAGGACGAGGAGGCTAGAAATTTCAAACGGCTTCCGTTGAACATATTTGCGCCGCTCTAGTACCTCTCGAGCCGGTTCGGGACCACTGAAGCCCCGGCTGTCTGTACACTCCGAGTACACCGTACACACTACACGTTCTCTGTCATCCTCCGACAAATCTTCACTATATTCTTGAGCTCCGTACAATTTTCTTTCTCGCATCTTTTGCCTGCACAAATGTCGACAATCTCATGCCTATTTACATCATGATTTCTGCCTTTTAACTATGTTACCATCAATTATTTCGACATACGATATTACGGTGGTTGTAGATTTGTGTATTTTGCAATTTGTGTACTATTCGTTTACCGACATCATTCATATTATTTTCTTATCCTTTGAATATACTCTTTCTGTTCGGTAAGAGCACCGCAAACCGTCTATTCTATCTTTTATTCTGTACGTTTTTTCGCCCCTCTACTATGAGTAGTAACTGATTTTGCGATTTTGAATTTCCACTATTCAGGTTCTTTTTATTCCATTATCTTACTTACATGCCAGCACTTAACATTCTCACAATATTGAATATTATTGTTAATTTTTAATTGTTATTGGTATTATCGGGATGGTGGAGTAGCTGAGAGCTTGGACAGATAGCTGCACGTGTTACGAGATCGGTCCCCTCCAAGACTCCTTAATCCACTTGTTTGAGATTGAATGCTGTCACAAAACCAATATAGAGGGGCAAATACACTGACATCCATTTAAACTTATGGCCTCGACTGGAAACACTCTTGAATGTCTCTGAAATAGTATGGGGTGGGAAGGGCATCTCATCAGAAGTAGATAACTGATTCGAGCCAATTATCGCGCTTCATTTAGCGCCGATTAGTCTAAGGAGCCAGTAGAGTCTCAAGTTCAATGTAAGTACAACCCATGTACAGGTTTGGCAGGTAGAACAAGTCAAACAAACGGGTAATTAGAAGTCGACACGCGTACTGTCACTCACCAGACCTCGCAAAACCCAGCCGATGTACCAGGGTAATATCTCGAGGAAGTGAGCCTGCGCGCTTTAATTTTACGCTTTCTCAGAGCGTTGCGCACGGCTCTAGGGCGCCTATCTCCTTAGGAGGGGGGGGGGACATCCAAGTGAGCGAGCCAATTGCTGTACTTGGTACTAAGCCTCAGGGAGCGGAAGGGATCCTGGGGAGCATGTGAACAGCTTGTGTTTTCCCTGGCGTTCCTCTCCTTAGCTGGTTTAGCTCTAATTTTACCTACCATCGGCCCTGTTTTGAATGCCCCCCCCTTAAGGACATGAGCGTGGGGTACAGATATGGGCTAAATGGCTGATTTTCCAGATAGCTACCAGCTGTTCCATTCACTACTTCTTTACTTCTCTTTACTTCTTACTCTCTTCTTATTCACTACCCTTTGCAATGCTGTAGAAGCTCAAGTCGATCTACAATGCACTGAGATATACATAGAACACCACAAACTGCACTATTTAGTCGAGTGAAAAGGGGGAGGGGAATTATAAGTGAAATCTGGTCCGAGGAAAGCGCAACGCGGGGTTTTTTGCCACAGCTTGTAACTCAAATATCGGTTATCTCTACGGAGTATTTTATTAAAAAACGCAATCGAAAAAAAGTTCCAATCCAGGACCAAAGTGAATTTTCAGGGTGAACCATCAAAAAATATCGAGATAAATATTCTTAAAATGTTCTGCAGTTTGATGTGGTGCTATCATTCAGTCAATGGAAGGGAAGAAACATCCAAAGTTGACAAACCTTTGTGAGTTGCGCCATGCATTGCACTTCCGTTCAAATAATAGGGCATCTTGGGTGCAATTGGCCAGTAAAGAATTAGCGGAGCTAGCGAGCAGATGGCGGTTGAATATTGTCAAGCAAATCTGGTACGAATCAACCGACGAAATGGTAGGCTTGCTCTAGGCGAGATCCGAAGCAGAACTTGATCCTCGGATCGTGTGAACGGTAAATGGGCCTTTCAAAGGTTATGGGACTATATCTGATTACGTGAGCACATCATATGAGCTCGAGGCTGCATGTGACAAGGATAACTTTGCTCTGGGGCCATATACTTCCCAATTACAGGGTGCTTTATTGGGGATATTGGTGGAATTGGAAAGAGTGTTGACTTCACCAACAGCTCTTTCCAGGTGACTGGAGGCAATAGCTAATCAGGTCAGCACTGAAATCAGCGCTGCGCCCAGTAGCAGAGCAGCCCGAAGGGAGCTGTTCGTTAACGGCCATGCCTGGGTGACAGCCGCTAGCCCATCATACATATGGGTCCAACATCATACAGCTTGTACAGTCCATCCCATGTGGAGAATCAGTGCTGTATCTGTACTGATGGGACAGGTGATTCATGGAAGCGAAAACTAATCGAGTAGTAACAAGAACTTGAAAATAAAAAGTACCAATGGGGTAAAGTGAGTGGGCTATAAAACCGAGGGCTATCGCAAGATATGGGGGCTGCATTGAAAATCGCGTAAAACATGTTCTTTTTGTCGGGCTAAGCCCCACGCGGGGAAGGAGAGGCTCCAGCGTACGCCAACCGTTTTCATTTTCCTGTGTCAGCATTTTATTCTCCCCAGAATTCCTATTTTTTCCCTAGCTGTCCTATAGGATGCGCCCTTATATTGCGATAGCGCCCAAAATCGGTTCCTGCACGGCTAGGGCGCAAACTTAATAGTATTAGACTCACGCAATGACCATGAGGAAATGTCGGCGCAGTGGGCCAAGGAGGGGCAGTCTTTTGGAAGCCTCTAGGACTAAGCTTACGGATAGGATCGAACTCCGGAGAAAAAGGAGTTGCCTGCAAACCGCGGAGTCCCTCTTCGCCTCTACGATCTATGGTTAGTCCTAAAAGTTACCTTTGACGTAATCCTGACCCTACGTTACCGGCTCCCCCCCCCAACCCACATTACGCCGAAATACCCATGTCGATTAAAGTACTAATGTCGATCCGGCAATACGTAGCGTTCCCGGAGGTAGGTAGCCTCCTTTGGCCGTGCTGGGACTCGATCCTGTGGATCTCGATCTCATAGCGAAGTCGCATCTGCTGCAAACCAATCCACTACAAAAACCAAACCCAAGTATACTATCACTTATGGCCCACTAACTGTTCAGTAGCGTCATAATAACACCAGATTTTTTACCGAAAACAAGAGAGTGGCCGATATCGATTAATTGCTCTGCGCCATGCATTATGCTTCCATTCTAAATCGTAGCGTCATTTGGATGCAATTTGTCCTATACGATGATTCGCGGAAACCAGACGATGTAAAATTTAAAAAAAGGACAAAACCTTTGCGAAAAATAAGTGAAATGGCACGTTTAGCTGCTTCCTCAGACGAATCTTACTACCTCAATCCCCGGAGCTAATCAATTTCATGAACTTGGCTTCAAGAAAGAACTTGGTAGGACTTATTTGACCCCCTGAGGTGGGAGGCTTCGTTAGCCTGTATGGTCCAGCGATCTAGGAATTGATCCCTGGACCATGATCGTGTTGAGTGGCGCCATTTGCCACTACGCCATTTTAACCCAAAATTATTGTACACAGAATAAACGTTATCGTAGTATGCCTGAACTAAAAACTTTACTATGACATTGACCTGCTGATCACCAAGGTTAGGTTATGACTGGGTTATAAGGCAGAAATTACTTGAAAGTACTTAATTAGTTGAGTATATAAGAAAGTGAGAAGTGGATGAGGTGTGAGACGTCGGTCGGTGGTTTTTGCAGCGTAACTGAATGACCGCGATCGCATCGCAAACCTTTGTGATGGTGTCATGTGCACACACACACACACTCGGTCGACGCTCTTTTAAACTTGTCGTGCCCCCTCCTCTTTACAGTGACATTACAATTATGTGTGTTCTAGTATTTTACACAACGATCGTGGGAAATTACAGCGCATCGTGGGAATATTGCTTGCTTCCACTGGGCTCTCCCCCCGACACGCTTAGCGCTGCCCTTCAGTGCTGAAGAACCGAACAAATATATGGCGGGCGGGGGACCCGCGTGGCCGTGCAATGTTTCAGTGGGGAAAATTGCTGCGCTGCACAATGATTAGCTCGAGCTTGAAGCTCTCTCTCTCTCCGACAAGGCTCTCATTGATCTTGAAGAGGCTGTGAACATAAGCCATTGAACTGAACATCCTGAACTTTTTAAAGAAACAACAGCTGTTCCATTGAGCATACCGTAACCATATCAGGTGTCTCGAGATTACGGTATCCAGAAGACATACTCTATTCTGTCTGGAGAGTTGGCGATAGGGAAACCGTGTAACCTCGTCACGGAAGCTCCACAAAAGGAGACCAGTAAAGCGCTGGTAGGAACAAGACTGCCAGGCAATCTCAGCCACGCGAATGTGTCGCACTTTTGCTGCTTCAACGCGAGAGCGGCATCCCCCCTCCCCCGTCGAGACTCGACGAGATCCTCAAAATCAATCGATTTCGGTCCTCGTCTTAAACTCATAACAGCTGGATGGTGAATATCATTCTGCCTGGTTGACCGCCTAGACACCGTTAAAATCGACTTGTGGCAAGTTTTCATCGCCTATGTTTATTCCTTGATTCATTTTTGTTTTGACCTACTCGATCAATACTTTGGTCTCAACTTTAAGGCTTAGTAGATAATAGAAAAAGAACATATTTTGTCGAACAAATTTCACCTTGTGAGTACTCATCAGGAAGTAATCGATCATAATTTTTTTCAACTACGAACGATGACCCTTCGTCTGAAAACTTCCTGTCGTTACTGGTAAGGATTATTAGAGTTCATTTTGCGTATATGGCATTGGGTTACCCGGTAGCTCTGGTGGCAAAGTCTTTGCAAAGTTGTTTTTATTCGATAGTTGATAGATTGTCTACTTGTTTGCCTACTGCAGTACAAGATTTAGTATCATGAACTGTGCACCCATCTCTTTTCAAACCTGAATATCAAGCATTTTCAAAGTCTTTAAGCTCTGAAAGCCTAAACATAGTTTTAGGTATAGATTTTATCACTCAAGAACGGCCTTCATAACTCTCTGTCCCTCTCGGGCCATCATCTTGGTACCCTCGGCGCGGACGATTACGGTTTCCCCTGGCGAAAAACCCGTAGAAGAATTTCAGTGAACGATACTCTTGACGTGTCGACGTTGGTGAATTAATTGCGTGCAGTCACTTTTCAACCGATTTCTCGCCCCGAACTGTCTCGGCAATAACCTGTTAGTTAGATGGAAGGCGGAGGGGGCAAGAGCGAGGCGGGTGATGGCATTAGAAGTGGGTGGGTGGATGGGTGGGGAAATGGACGGGGCGACCGTTGTCAGTAGACGAGGCAGGTAAATGACGGTAGTTGAACAAATCAGGTGCTGCTGCCGTTTGTGGTGAAGGTGAGCGATGATAAATCGACCTAGCTGAGTCTGTTGACGACGACTGATGCCACTGAAGATGGCGCTTTGGTAAGAATACCGACTGAGCGCAAACCACACACGCACACACCGGCAGCTCACACCTACAGCGTCAAGGCCATTCAAAGCCAAAGTCACTGAACTTGGGTCGTTCCGTGATGCTGGTGATGGTGATGATGATGATGATGACGGAAAAAACCTGCCCCAGACGGTAATGAGCGGGTCTCATGACCAGGTTGCCGTCTCACATGCTCCATGCTTAATGAAGTATATGCATGTGTCGAAGAGTGGCGGCGAACTTGTGAAGCTCATCGTTTTTTGATTTCCGTGTCAGAACCGTAACGAGCAGGGGGGGGGGTCAGCCGTGCAGACAGCAGTAAATCATTAAAGATGATGGCAAGGCGATGTATGGTTACCATTTAAAGGTTAGAGGTCGATGTGACGCGTCTGTTTCGATTTCTCTCCTCATCCTAGAAAGAATGGTAATCAATCCGGAAAGCCCATTTGTTTTATTTGCCAGACTAGAGCTGTGCATTTATGACGGAACGTTGACTGGTGCGATTTACGACTACAGCGTCACGGCAACTGCTCGGGTCCCACATCGTCCCGGTTGAACTGTGGGCATCGTCCTCGTAAGACGAGGTCAGAGCCAGATCAACCTATGGAACCTAAGTCTCTAAAAACGCTAAATTTGTAGGCGTGAACCTTCAAAGGTCATACGGTTAGATTCGACGGCAAATTTTCCGTTTTTGAGAGCATTACACGTTTGAGGCTGCGATCTTAGAACGGTCGGCATTGGAACGAGCTTTTACCGGCGATATTTTGATTCGCGCGGATTCACCTAGACAGCGTTTTCTGGTCGTGACCTGACGAGAACGATGGCGTTGATGAAGAAGCAACTTAGGTGAAGCCGAAGACGTCAACGACGATATACATGAAGCCCCATTGACGGTGAAAGCCGGCTTTGGCATGTCGGCGCAGGTTCACGATGTCGTAAACATGATCCCGGAACATTGATCAGTTTCTCACAAGATTCCGATTGCTTTGAAATCGTGCCAGTGTGGTAAGTTCGACCAATTACTCGCAGCATGTGGACCTTTTGAAGTGGAACTTCCGGGACGGACGACATCCAGAAGCATAGCCAGGCTGGCCACCAGTCTACGGTACCGTTTACCCACCGGATAAAATATTCGAGGACAATTGTATGGTAAGTACGGTTATTGTTAGAAAACTGTATCGATCGAGGGGCACTTCTTTGTTTTTTTCTATCGACACTTGGTCTTTGGCAGATGAGGAGATAACGCGCTGTCCCTCTTACCCCTTTCACTCCGCGCTCACTCTCTCTCATCTACCGCCTCGATTCCATAAATCGACCTGATCGTTCTTATCGGAGCTAACTTCCGACTGGATGGCTTAGCTAATGAATTTGCTTATCAGCAGCTATTTTGCATGATTTTTTCTCAGGATTTTGAATATTTACTTTTTACTTTTTTATTGCAAAGTAGAATTTTGTGAGAACTTCGTAGAGCCTATGGAACCGCTTCCGTTCGTGCAGCTGTTAATCCTTCTACCATATCCCCCCATTTCTTTGCAGTAAGGTAGTCTGTTACTCATTCTCCATATTACTTATGGATTACCAGTAGTCGAAAGGCATAAAATATCGAATATGTGAAGTGCCTCACGCCGAGTTTCCCGACGGTCGGCAATTTCTCATCTGGCACTCATTATTATTACTCATAATGTTCCAAGCCAGATGTGAGATGCTCTTCTCGTGCGATAATAATGAAACGAGCACGTAGAAGAAATAGGATACTGGTAACGGTGAAGTTTAGAGTAGCGGAAATGCAGTAAAAATGTAAAAATTTGGATTAGTATGGTCCTGCTGAGCAGGTGCAACTTCAGCTGACTGTAAACAGTTACTGAATCACTTCTATGAAGTTCTTACTACTTAAACTGTTTGAAAAGTTTTCCATTTACTCTGCTGCATGACGTGCCCTTGCAGCGTTCGATTGCGGTTTGCGATAGGCATCAGGCAAAACCGTCACTGACCTTTACGCACTCCCTGACCACGTATCTCTGTTATGAGACGGCAAACTTTGGGAAGTTTAAGAACTGGCGACGTTTCCAAGACCCCCCCCCCTTAGTCTGTTTCACGACGCCTCAAAGAATTTCCCTGCACGGGCAATTTTATGATCAGGAGAGTGTCAGTTTCATGCGGGCTTTCAAGGCGAAAGTGTCGCGACACTCCAGATGAGGGCTGGGCTCGTGGCCTGATTGAAGCCAGTTCTAGACGAGGGCCGGACTGTAGAGACTGTTGCCGTCTGCTGCTGCTGCTGCTGGTGCCGCGCCCGACGACCTCTACGCTCTAAGCTTACCGCCTTTTCCAAACACGATACCATCTTTTCGTTTTCGCCGTCTTCCGGTTCCAGCCGACTTTCCATTCCCAGGCGAAGTGTGTGTGTGTGTTGATTCGTTACCGCCCACGTGTGCTACCACTATCGATTATGAATGTGTTTTACCTGAATCTCATTGTCATAGGTATTGTTTTTCAGCCATTTACCTTTCAAGTTATCGATAATTGGCCATGTCGTTCCACCTGACTGTCTGTTGTTGGCTGTGCTGAAATTCAGGGCTGGCTGAGAGTTGTCTCGGCTGGGGCTTATGACAGCCGAGTAGGCTGCCATCGGCACACAGGTCGATGCCGGCAGAGTTCTGTGACGGCACTTCGTTGGTCGTGAATCAGCCGACGACGGCAACTGTTCCGTCGGCATCTCGTCCATTTATTCCCATTGCAAAGCACTACGCGACACAATCACAATCCCTCGTATCGTTTCGCGATCGGCCGCGCACAGTATTTGTGTGTGTCGGTCCTTTAATTGCGTCGGCACGACATCTGAATTCAGTCTCACGACACCTGTCCAGCTCATCTGTCTTGGAGCGATCCGCGAAATCGCCGCGCTAAAGCTGCCAAGTACTTCAGAGGCGTGCCGCATTGGCCGGGGAAATCGCGACGACAGTGAATCGCTGCGATTTCACGCATATCTAGTCAAACTCTCGAAGGAATGTTGTTCGGTGAATGTGAAGCTGTGAGCAGGTCGCCTTGCTGTTCAACGGGCGCCGTTGTGCTGCCAACTGACGGCTGTTATTGAGTGCCAGAGCTGCATTGAATGACCGATATAAGTCATTAAAGGGGAGCAAGCTCTTTTATCAGAAATCCAGCGACTCTTGCAGTTTTGTAGATTTCCTCCATTAGCCTGATTCAGGCGATTTACTCCATAATGCTTTATATAGCCTTATGGTAGTTGCGCCGAGACTCCTCCATCTTCAAACTTTGCCAATCTGCTGTGCTGTCTCGGCGAGTTGTGTCGCCTGCAGCTGGAGGTGCTTCTTTTCCGGAACATCCAACCAGTGCACATTTTTCTTGCTTTTCTTCTCATTTTCTTGCTCTCCGTCCCTCTCTATCTCGGTCGTCGTTCCCCTCACACCATACCTCTCTACTCTTTCCTCTTTGCCTGATTGATGATGCCGCGCGCCTGTTCGCCCGTGTGTGTGTCCAGCCCGCCGCCACTGCCGAGACTACCATAAACCGCCCCCGAGCCATAGGCATCGCACTCTACAGTATGCTGCTTCATTTCAGTTCGGACCTATTCCCCACGGAATACTCGCACTACACCTGTGGCTATTCATTCAGAGCATTTCACTGTGATGAAGCCCTTTGGGCATAGTTCAGGGTTGGGTTGCAGGTCTCCGTACTTATCATTCGAGTCCGTTTTGATTGAATTGATCAGATATGACGAGATAAATTATGTTGGCAACTGCGATGCGTTTGCGTTTTTGCCGTCTGCTTTCGATTTCTTGGCGATCCGCGAGTGCACGCCTACGCGATGGCGAATAACGACCTGACTTGTGATTCTCTTCCTCGCCTCGGCACTTTCTCTCTCTCATACGCACATGCTTTTCAATAAAAATCACGAGACAGTGGACAGCATTTCTTAGCCGTCCCTGAAGAAGTTACGGTCCTTACGAGTCTTTTGGAAACCCTCCGTTTCTGCCCTCTAGCCCTACCTGAAATCTTAATCTCTTTCCGACATGTTTATCAGCTCTTCATTTATAATCTCGATTTTCATTTACAACTAGCTATTGAATTTGCTATTTGATTCCAACTCCAAGTGGCCTGTTGGTTCGAAGCATTCGGGTGGTGGTGGGCGGACCGCCGCAGCAGCAAGGGACAGTTGGTCCTAGTCGTGGCGCGGCCGGCTACTTCCCAGTACTGTATCGGATTTCTCGGCACCCTTTACGCACTATAAGCTATCCTCTGATGAACTTTCCTCCGCCATTTAATCCTCTTCTCATGTTTCTCCTTTTTCTTCCAATATGATCACGTTCACTGGTACTTTCACACCATTCACCTTGATTGCTGTGATGGTGGGTGGGTGGTGGTGATTACCATCGCGCCCATTGCCGCATTCTTCACCCCATCATATCAGTGTGATCGATCGATAATGGTAAATTTCACATGATTTTCGGAAGGTTGAAGTATCATCGCATCGCATGGCTAACGTTTACGGCGTCTTTTGGTGGCGGAGGACTGAGCGCCAGTCAGTCATATGTCCGCGGATCCCGATTATTCACATCTGGCGCGAATGCCCTTATCCTTTATGGGTACTGCAAAGAAGTTTCGTCGCTTTACCCAGATGATCTAGCCACCAATTCGCATTGTTTCACTCGGCACATCGTTCTCATCTTTCTGATATTCTTATACACAGTAGAAACGTTCTCAGAACATGAGCAAGGGGGGTTGACAGGCGTGGCCGTTCATCAAGAAGGTTTTCATGCAGCGTCTGGGGAACACGCCTTGCCCCTGTACGAATGACGACGATGTTTCGAGCAGGCGAAATTAGTGAAAGCAGCACGTAACCTGTTCCGGTTTGTCACGCAATGCGCCCGCAGGCAACACACGCATGTTACCTTCTCAAGCAACAACGCGACCAGTGCAGGTTTGCCATGAACTGTACTTGCAGCAGCAGCAGCAGCAATAGCAGTTGTAGCAGCGGTACGACCGCGAGTCCTGTCTAGTACCCCTTTAGGCGCAGCAACGCGCTTTGTACCGCCCTTGGGTTGCATTTCAGCTCTTCAGGTCCTCAGATCGGTCATTTTAGACACCTCTGAAGATCTCATTTGCTTGTAATAAGCCTAAGCCTGAGCGTAAACCTAGCCACAGGCCTAAGCATAGGCCAGTGTGGAAGCATAGGCGTAAGCCTGAGCGTAAGCTTGAGCCAAACCTTAGCTTCTAATGATCGCGGAGCTCTGACGATCTGACCTAGGAGGGGAGCTAAACGGCACTGCGAAGCTTTCTGCCATCGTTAAAGAAACCGGGACACAACATTTGAAAACAAATATTTCGATCGTGCTTCACTAAATAGAGAATACATTTGGAATGGCGCAGGAGGGTGATATCTCCCCCCAAGTTCCATCGCATTCCCCGTGCGCTAATATGAAGCGTTCCGGGGCAATTTTAAAATCGGCCAAGCCAAAGTTGTTGCCAAGGGCATCGCCGCTAGTCGTTGCGTAATCAGCGCCTATCGCGAGCGCTGCGCTCAACGACACAGCTAAACCTGAACTTTCGACGCGCTATTCCAATCTAGGATCAAGTTCGACCCGTCGTCAAGCGGGTTTCGTTAGCGAAAAAAGAGAGTGCACGACGGCTTTCGCTTTCTGCCGATGACATATTCGCCGCTTTTACCGGCGCGACATCGGCATCGAAAACGCTTTTGCGTTTTCTTTTCCCTTTAAACCGAATCTCATCGAAATCACACCAACAGATTGGTTGTTCTCTATGAACTACATGTACAAAGACCAGTTCAGAAATGCGTTATCCTTGCCTTAAATCACACGCAAAAATCAAAACGAACACTTATGAAAGCGTGAAATAAGTTGAGCTGGACGAGCTGAGGTTGATGTTGGGAAACACACTCACACACACAGACCAGAGCAGGCGAAGTACGAGGAGGAGAGATTCGACCACTGAAATGATTCGCGTGTGTTACACCTTCATACAAACATTTGCATTACACTATTGTTACAGTACGGGACTGGAGAGGGGAGATAGGGGGTTTCCCCATGGTGGTCTCCGCGGACATTGAGTTTACACTTCGATAGAGCATGCGATATTCAGCTGATGAGCACGATCGGGACTGTGAGATCAATTACAGGAGCTGAGGCGGCTTTTCAGGCGCTGATTGGCATTTTCATAGCGCATCTGGCTGAACTTTCAAGGAAAACTCGTCCGCAGCGATCTTAAGCACTCCACAATCTCGTAGGCGCTTTTTCCACCAGAAGAACTCTGTCCAGTAAGAGACTGTGGCACGGAGCTTCTCGTGCCATCTATATCATCCGTATCACAATAGTTGCCATCCATCCACATAGACACCCCCCAGCCGTCCGTCTCCTCCGCGCTACCGTATCTCGTAGCGCGCGGGCAGTGGGCGTGGCTCGGCGTCTATATCAACTCTCGAGCGCTCACTCCAATTTTTGCCCAAACAAGTTCTGCCAATGATAACCCAATACGACTCAGTTCACCGCTAATTGTTCATTTACTCGATCAATACTAGCAGCACATGTACAGTTGCATTACGATTAGTGGGATCGCCTCAATCTTCTTGCTCATGCTCGTGCTCACGTCATGTTTGTCCCTTTGAGGCTTTGTCAACGCCTTCACGAATGTTTTTGTTACCTTTGAAGGCTCTTTAAGTGTACTGATGTGAATTCTGTCTATCAGGTAGCGCTCAATTCTTCTCATCTTCAGATCTAGCGGATGTGCTGAGATAGTGTTGTGTGGCGTCGATAACAATACATAGGAATCATGGAGATTCAAGCACATCTCATGCATCACAATCCGTACGATATAGTGAAAGCCGAGGAGCCATCGACGCCTCCAAAGTCGAAAGCAACACGTGAGTTTCGCCCGAGGTTTCTCCCCCCAGCGTCATATGGTCAGCCTGAAATTGATCACGGCCCGACAGACGCGCAACCGATGAGGTCCTTTGGCCGGAATCGCGAGAAAGCGCTATAGTTGTGCCACGCTTCTTTTTACTGCTCTCCTTCAGAGAGGGGGAGGCTGAATGAGTTCCGCGTTTACCTTGATTGATGCTCAGAAAATTTCGTGGTGGTCGTCGTCGCCGTCGCGCGACTGTCGGGCTGGTCAAGGCAAGCGAGAATTGACTTTGTAGACTACCGGAACAAAACACTTTGATAAACAGGGCAAACCGTCATCGTCTGCACGAGAGGTGAGCCCTGGGTTACGTAACGCGGGACCATGTCTATCTTTTTCAGTGTGCCCCTCGACGGACATGCTCTTCAGCGTGTCCAATTTCAATATCCAGTCAAATTTCTGCCCACAAGTTAACAATAACCATGATCCGCTCAATAATAACCATGTGAAGATCAACTCCAATGGTAAACCTTTTAATTTTTCAAATTTGTAGCTATTTTTGTTCGATTTTTCATTCTGATAACGGGTTTCAGGGAGAACCTTGGCGGCAGACCGTAAGCGGCCATATCCGTGCAATTTGTGCACGTCACGATTCGGCAGCAAAATGGAGCTCGAAGAGCACCAGAACAGCCATACCGGAATGAAACCATTTGAATGTGATGTGAGTCTGAGCTAAATTTTCCACTACTAACAAAATTTGGCGCTATCGCAAGAAACTGGGGCTTTGTGGTGGCAGCATTTAAAACCGCGTAAAACACACCCTTTTGTTGAAATAGGACTCAGACGTTGGAGAAGGCGAGACTCCAGGGTGCATAAGCCATTATCACCTTCTTGGAAGTTCCTGCCCCTCATGGGTTTAGACCTAAAGGATGCCTCCGTATCTTGCAATAGCGCCCAAGAATTATCTAGTGCGTGGGAGAAACGAGGTGATGAAGAAGTGCTGAGGATTCCTTGAATTGCTTTCGATTTGTGGGCTGAGATGTCAGTAGTGTGACAAAGCGAGCCCATGACTCATCTCTACGATATCCATCCTGTCTGTCTCATGTTTCTTCGTGTAGACATCACATGATCTGACGGGGTCAGAGTAGCATGAGCTGTTGGAGAAGAGCGAAGCGTTGAGACGCGGATTGGCTTCGAGCCAGAGTCAACCGTGCGCTGCGCGGTTCCCAACGAGGAGGTCGTATTTGGGTTTTTTTTTCTTTCGAGGAGGTCGTATTTGCAATATTTTGGGCTGGTGGAGGTGAAAGGGGAAAGAAAGGGGTCCTATTTGGGAATTTTTGGAAGATCAAGGGGTCGTGGTGGTAGCAGAGGGGGTCAAGTTTGAGGATTGTGACTATGTTGGTGAAAGCTTGAAGGCAACGAGTAGGGAGGACTTCCCCTTCCTACGGAGTTATTCACCCCTCAACGGTCGTTCTGGAGGGGAGAAGCGGCGGATTTAGGTTGTGTCAACTGATCCTGAACTATGGAATCAGCCGTGATGATGAGGGTGATGGTCGGAGTAGGAGGGAGGGGGGGGGCTGTATTGAGTCCTGAGGCTGATGGCGGTGGAGATCCACTGAACAGGAGGAAATTTTCAAAGTCTGCACAACGCGCGGTTGACCCTGGTTAGGGCCCGGTTTCAAGAAGCAAGTGATCCTGCTAGGAATGTTGACTACTGAAAAAGGCACAGGGATTGCGTACCGAGTCCTTTTTTTTTGAACTCGGCCCCTTGACTTTTCGTTTTCACGGTCGTGCCAGAAACCGTGCCGAAAAACTTCATCCAAATCGCGTTCAGGTGTGCAAAGCACGATTCAATCGTCGATCGACGTTATGGAATCACAAGCGAATTCACTCGGACGCGAAACCGTTCGTGTGCACGGTGTGCCAGATGACGTTCAAGTGGAAAAACAGCTTAAAGGTTTGTGATTTATATGCCGATCTAAAAATACACGCAGAGGAACGCTGTGGGTCGTTTTAGTGCCACAAAGAGATGCATATGAGAAAGAACGAATCCACTCCACACATCGACAACGATCTGCGCCAACTAACGTATGCGACGGCCGCTAAACGGAAGCTGGTTGGTTTCTTGAACGTGGTACATGAGCATGCTGAGGCTCATTCGATGTCACGTAAGAACCTTCTCTCATGCGTTCAGATGATGGAGCAGGAGGAGCAAGGCAATCCGGCCACGTCATCTGCGTCGTCCATTCATAGCCAACCGTTGATCACGACAACGACGCCTAAGAAGAAAACAAATAAGGTAAGTAAGGATTGCCTTATCGCTGAGCAACAGAGGGGTTCAGCTCCGACTAGGTGCATTGCGACTGTCTGTTAGCGTGACATACCTCACTCCTTCCCTCTGTCAGGCAGCCTCAGGGCTTCTGTCAACCGTGAGCCTAGGCAATTAGCGTTTTGTAGTGCTGTCTGGGAGCTCTCAAACAAGCGCACTATTACACTATCTGTGCTTTCCTTTATTTCCTTGACGAAACTTAGTCCTAATACCACACTTAGTGAGTGCATTCTACAATCACCCTTTGGTCAGAAGCCTTGTACCCGTTCAAGGCAAACGCCCACAATTTACGCTATCCCTGTTATGTTGGCTACTGTGTGAGAGTGAGAGTGGTAAATGGTCTCTTCTTATCAACCGATCCACAAACCCTTTTGCGATATCCCAGAAGTGGGAGTGTCCTGTAATTTCTTCAACTTCCGTGTTACCATCTAGTGCGCAGTTCCCTAAATCGTTTCCCTCTGCCGTTTATCGCTAGCCCTTATACCATGGGATACTGGTTTGAATCCACAGTGTGAAAAGGGTTCGATCCACGATTCACCATCGTCCCGTACCTCAAACTCCATATGTTTACTGGAAAAAGTCAATTGTGGTCATTGATGGATACATAAGAGATTATCCATGACTACACCCGGGTCCTTTGGGTTACGTGCACTAGAACCTGCAAGAAAATGGTTGGCTTGCTTGGAACTCCTCAAGATTCAGTTGAAGGAGGTATTGGAAACTCTCGATGAAACATTCCGGTCATAGTATCTTATTTACCCATGTACCGTCGAAGGTCAACGTTTTGAAGCAGTGAGCACGATGGCCGAAGGGTTGAGTAATAACTTTGATGATGTCATCCCTAGACGTCATTGGTTGCTCAAGCAAATCAGCGTCTTAGGAGCAGGGATTGTTGGGATGACCTCCTAACTACCTTTCACCAATCACACCCAACTACGTCACCAAAATTGCTCCGCCCTCCTGCCATCGTGTCCACTGCCTTTAAGGCTAAACTTTTACCAACGCTCGAGTTTCTAATTGCCACCCAACCCAAGTATTGCAGTCGTCACCAAATCATGCTGTCGGCACGCTCCATCTAAATCCCATCACTCAGCCACTGCAAGCGGTTCGTTTTCAGAACTCGTTTTTCAACGCAACTCTTCCTTCATACTTCGAAAACACACTTCAGAGTGCTCTGATACCGCCGTCAGATCATCAATTGGATCTGGACACGAGCTCATTGGACACTCTTGTAAATAGCAATAACAATCTCTTGATGCACATCTATAACAGGTACGACAGGTAACGATTTAAACTCTCTTCAACAGCCTTCCTCGAATCACTCGGTATATACTCAGTTCACGTCTGATATGCCATTTTATTGCAGTGAAATGGATCCCTCACTGACGTCGCGCCATCCAAATCCGATGCTGAACAGCATCGACGACAATATGTTGAATTCGCAATTATTAGGAGATATTAAAAATGAAGTAAGCCATTTGTGATCTTCGGAACATCTCACAAAAATAATGACCGTGATCAATTTCTTTTGAGATGCGCCACGCATCCCACTTCTGCTTCAGTGTCGAGTACGTAAAGCCTTGGGTGATTCGGTCGACATTAACAATACTCGATTCGGTATATGACCCCAAGTCGTTCACGTAGTAAGCAACGTCCCACGCTGAACGCCGATGCCTAAATCAGTGCATTTGGGGCCACCTAGCTAGAGCACAGTCCAAGGGTAAAGCCCCGAACCACATTTCTCGTAGACCAGCTAAGATCTTCGTCCCTCAGAGATCGGTTATTTGGTACGAGAGGATAAAAGCACTGACCTGTGCATAGGTTTACCGCGCAAGCATTTGTACAGGCTACACCACATTTAAAGGCAGGAGCACAGTATTTTTGTCTGCCTATCAAAATATTTAGGCGGAGGTACCAAATGATGCGAAAATGAACGAAAACAGGAAAAAAAGGTCAGAAATCCGAGGTATAAGACTCTCATTCTGCTTGTTCACTTTGGACGAGTTTGTGGTTTACATACTTTGGGTATGGGCGCTTTGATAGACAACGGGAGGTGAAGATTAGGAGATGTGGCCGTTTGGTACCAAAATGCGCTTCTAATTAAATTTAAACTTCAATGAGAAACGGTTTGATACAACGGCAATGCCTTGTGCGAAGACTAAGCGATTTTTAGTTGCATAACGAACACACGTGCAACTATCCCAGCTTTCGCAGCGAAACGTCATATCTCATTTCTGTGTGTGTATACATCTATGGAGCAGATCCTCATTATCGTGTCCACTGCTATAAGATGCCATTATATTTCGCAATGGTAGTAGAATGCGTGGCGCGTCATGAAATGGGACTGATCAAGTTTGGACTACCATATACCATACCATGCAGCTCGTGTGGTTTCGGCCAGACAATATCGGCCACATTCATTGATTTCAGTCATCGTTGGGCGGAGCAGCAACAGCACCGATCACGTGCACATGCCAGATGCCAGCTTAAATGCTGAACTTCAGGCCATCATCCCAACAGCTGTGAGATTCAGGTGTCAAATCATCAGCAATTGCGGGCCAAACGAGCAGCAGCACGATATTGAGCGTGTGTGCTGAAAATAGCAGGCAATTCCGGTGCCGATTTGTTCAAACCTTTGATATTCACCTCCTTTCAGCCTTCCGTACATCATCTGACGTCTACATCGTTGCCGGTTTCGGTACCAATGGATTACAGTATCCACAATGAGACGCCAAATGTTGCTCATCCGCAGTACATTGTCACCACTCAACCGGATATGATGTTACCGCAAGGCATCGGCTATCAGCATCACGGGGTAATTGATAGAACATTATTTAGCTAACAGCAAAAGCGAAAGGGGCGCTATCGTAGGATACGGGGGCATCTCTTAAGACAGTCTAGGAGGGAGGATGGATCTTTAGGGAAAATGAAAATCGCTCACGAACCCTAAAGTGTGTCCTCCCCGCCTGAGGTTGGTCTCCTTTTTCAAAAAAGAGGAGACGTTTCACGTACTTTTAAGTGCCTTTCCACCGTCCCCGTATCTTGTGATAGCACCCAAAAAGATTTCTTGAGTGCTTAAGTGAGTTACTCGGTCAGAAAGCGCTTAAGCGCTGGGAGATTGCAGGGTGGATCTATTATTGATTGCTTCTTTCAGATCCCTAACCCTAGATATTAATTTGAGCGTGTTTTGTTTGCTTCAAAATTGCTGTTTTCAACGTTGAGTCAAAAAGCTGAGCTTCGGCAGAACGGTAGCGTAACTAGCAGCACACTTGAGCGGTAAGCTCGAGGTGGGGGGTGGGAGTCTCGCGTGGCGCGAAATTTCGTTCATAATCCAGCATTCTTGTGAAACGTAACCCTAGCATTTCTGAGCATTTTGTGAATGGGAAAGCAACTGGGTATGGTCAATGGCGTGGATTTTTGCTGTAGTTCCAGTACACAGACGCAGGGAATAACATTTTCTAATAGCTTTTCTAAGAAAATTTTCTTCTCTCTTCTCTCCTCTCTCTTCTCCTTCTCTTCGTGCAAAGAATTCACGATTTGCAAGCATTGATACACCAAGCAATGACGCACTGCCACCCACAGTCAACCGTTCGTTAGTGCAACTACTAAAGGAGGGGGAGGGGGCTTATTGGAGTTAACCATTGGTGACCAGGTTAACCCTTTCCTGGAAATGTGTGGACGTGGATCTCATTTGTGGGATATGAAGGGGTCTGGTTGCTGGGAGAGAGGGCAGGCTATCGACTGGAGATCAGACTAATTTGACGAAAACGATCGACGGCCATTTCAGAGGGCAAGATGGGCAGAGTTGAAGAGGAGAGAGGTGGTAAGGGGTGAGGGTTGTACGGGTGACCTAAACTGAATACGGTAGTGGAGGGTCGTATAGGGACACCTCTGGAAGAGAAGCGTAAAAATTTCGGAAGAGTACCATTAATAGGAGTGGTCCTGCCCTCACTATTGTGGTATCTGTGATTCAACTGTCCGCTATGCTCTCTCGTCTGCATTGTCTAGGTCTACGTTTTTCTCGCCTTGGCGTGAACGCCTCTCAATCCTTGTGCATCTCCTGTTTCTGTCTGTTTCGCACTCGTTATTCTCCAAGAAAAAAGGAAAAGGAAACTCTTGATTGAAATGTTTTGCCTTTGATTTCTCTTCCTTTTTATTCATTGACAATCAATTGACAGCTGCCGATTCATCTTCGAACCTCACTTCACTGCTTCTACTCGCAAAATTAGAGCAGGATTACCTGTTCGTTTTAGTATTGGAAACAATAACTGAAAATTTGCACCTGGTCATTATTTGAACAGCTCTGCGTTCAAACGATTGACAAGCATTGGCCATGCCTGCCAGGGCTATTCCCTAGGAGGCTCTTCGTTTCTAATTTTTTCATCACTGTCGAGCTCGGAAAATTCCAATTATCTGGTAGTCGGAGAGCGTGGTCGGAAAGTAATGAATCAATGGGGATCATTGACCAGTCATGGCCATATGTAATATTCATCGGCATAAAGCATGCGAAATCATAGCTAGTGTTCGAATACTTTGCACGTGCAATAGTTTCCGATGATAGTGCCACCTTTCCGTTTTTACTGACCTTTTTTTTAAAATCGATTCAACTCCTTCATATTGGGCATTCACTCCAAAAATTATATCAGAAGGAAAGAATATTTATGAGATGATTGGCCGCAGTAAGGATTGCCCACAAAAGCATCGCCAGGACGCGTCACGCATTACAAAGTCTGGTCAAATGTGTTCGCTGTCCATGGGCTGTTTATTTGCAAGAAATCGTGTACTTGTAGAAATTGGGGTGTCTAGTTTATGCATTTCAGGATGGCACTTACCAGGTATTATCATGTTGAACATTTCACCTTGTCTGTAACATCTAACAGCCCGTAGCAGGGGTCAACCGATGTAGTTGAGAGTTCTAGAGGGCTGACGAGAGGTTCAGTATTTTAGCTTCCCGAAGGCGGAGTCGTGTGTCTGATGGGTTGTGTGAACGTCAAAAGATGGAGGAGGGGGTCAGTCGTATTCTCGGTAGTTGAAGAGGTCATGATTGTGGGAAAGGGGTCCTTATTTGGAGTTTTTTCGGCGATTTTGGTGAAAAGTTCATGAAACAGACTTGAAATAAGTAGGCCTAGAGGAGTTGCCGTTTCTTGAGGCAAACACACCCTCAATCCTTGCACGGCGGCCATTTTGGGAATGGGCGGAGTTGGGGTGTGTCGGCTGGTATCAGAATTGGGAATAATGTAGGCTGCAGGACTGCAGCATTAAGTAAATGCAAGAATTGTACCTTATTAGGATAGACGTGAAATTTGATAAACATTTTGACAGGCATTTTTGGGGTTCAGATTTTTTTTTGGTTTTTTAATTATTATAAATCTCTTCTCGATTGACTAGCACTTTGCGTATTCTTCACAGTTTCAGCTGGATCAGTGCGTGATATTGACGACGGGCCACGATTATGTGCCCAATTTCGACTACCCGATGATCGGCAACTATCAAATGCAAACCGAACAGCATGAAGCTCAACAGTCGGCTCACGACTCTAATGACGAGAAGATTGTCCCATATGAACAATGGTAGAGACAACAGTTGATTTATCTAGACAATCTGTTCCCTAAAGCAATCCCCTTGCACCCCCAGCCCTTGTCAATCTCAGTGTCATGCTTACTACGTTATGTTTATGTGTTTTCCTCTCACATTTTTATGTTCGCCATTTTTTATTCCGCTCACACTCCATGTTTCACAGCCGTTGGAAGGGTACAGCTAGTCCATTACAAATGCTCATATTGAGAGTTATAAAACAGGCCCCGCCCTCAGCTGTGACTGCTCACAGTATTGTTTACCCCGCGACACGATGAGGTCTATGAGGTGTACCTCATGACACACACACGGGGAGCCCAACTCGTCTTCTATTTATATTTGTATAATATTCACACAGTGCTTCGTTCAGTGTCATTTTGATCTTCTCTCAGCCATGAGTTCCGCCATAATATTCCCATTTTATTGATTTTTTTGTTTGTTCTTGCTCTTTTATTGAGTTTTCATCATTTCGACGTCAGTTTGTCCTTCTACATTTATATGTGTGTTCTCCCTTTATGTGTGTGAATCATAAGTGCCATTTGTGTAGCTATTCGCCTTATAATTTTCATCATGTGATTCCGTGTGTGCCTTATTCGTAATGGGTGGTCCGACGAGATAGCTTGATGGTAATGACGACTTCAGAAGACATCATATTTCATGCTATTTTTGTTCGGTGTTCTCGTCGAATCATCCCTGAGCCGATCTCTGCTCAACAATCTGGACCGCAGCAGTCCATCAAGCCTTTCACTGCACAGTTGCCTTATCCCTCGCGCTCTCTCAATCTGTCTCTATTGCCCCGTCCCTCGATCCCCATCCTCTTCTTGTTCCTCCTCCTCCTCCTCTTCCTCTCCTATTGACCATCAGTGCCGTTCGATGAGGGTCGGAGTCGTGTAGTTCAGTGTTTAGCCAGACGTACCTGTAGAGATATGTTTGTATATTCTGTAGAAATACCCGTGGTTTTTTCATCAAATCGATTCATGCTTGTGCGATGTTCGTATCATCGTCATGTTACGATTCAAATAAAACTACAAAATTTTTTGATGACAATTTGACGCTCGAGCAAGTTGCTAAAATCATCTGGACTCGAGAGAGCCAATTTTGATTATTGATCGATGTAGGCCAGGGGCGGGGAAGTGGGGTCGTACTGAAGGAATTGATGATATTCCCAGTATGGGGAAGTCACAGTCTAACAATTTTTGAACCTATTGTCATTTTTGCTTAATGTTCTCTTCGGCGGATCTGTAGCGCTCGTTCAAAAATAGCGCGATTTTCAGATTCTGCACCGGAACATAGTAACCTGTTCCATGTTCAGGCGCGTGATTCCGCCACTAAATATGCCTTAATGTACTCTACCTGTGCTCGGAGGGATAAACGTTGGTTGCTGGCCCCAGTCGCCTCCGTAGGGTTTCAAACCAGAGCCGATAGAAAGTTGCGTCAAAACGATCATTGAGCTTCATGATCGTCCACTTCCCGCCCCTGGCCTACATCGATCAATAATCAAAATTGGCTCTCTCGAGTCCAGATGATTTTAGCAACTTGCTCGAGCGTCAAATTGTCATCAAAAAATTTTGTAGTTTTATTTGAATCGTAACATGACGATGATACGAACATCGCACAAGCATGAATCGATTTGATGAAAAAACCACGGGTATTTCTACAGAATATACAAACATATCTCTACAGGTACGTCTGGCTAAACACTGAACTACACGACTCCGACCCTCATCGAACGGC